TTGCCTAGTGAGGGTCAATTGTCTCAGTGACAGCTCCTGCATGTGTCCCCACAGTCCTAGGTCATTGGTGCTGGGACCCGGGCAGCCATGATACACGTATGCTTTTTGAGTGCCTGCGTGCTTTTCTGCACAAGCTTACTGGCTGGCCTTTGGCTGTTTGCTGGTCTCTCTGTGGAGTCCTTTGTCTTCCTCTTATGGCACTGAGTTTGAGATTACCTGGTGCTGTTTGCTCACCTTTGTGGCAGTTCCAGCAAGATTCTCCACATTTTCTGGTCGCCTGCTGTAATTCCTTTCCACTCCCTGCCTTGCTTGATCTCTTGTTTGTGCTTATTTTGTTTGTTTGTTTGTTTCATTTTTTTAAAGAATATTTCCATTTATAAAATTGGATCTTTATGGGAAGTAGACCAGATTTTGAAAGTGGTCACTTGAGGCCACATGCTTATCTATTTTATAGCCTAATATTGCAGCTAAGGATGAATTGTGTCAAGATTATTAAGTCACCACACAGTTTTGGCATCATTTTCCATGCCAACTGGAAGAAGTATTTTCCTTTGTGAAGAATTGGTTTGTACACATTAATCAATGAGGCAGTTTAATTATCAATCTTTCTTTAATATTTATTTTCCCTGCACTGCTATGATAATGTTGGGACATTATAGTTTCTGTTTATTAAAGCAGTTGCTAAAATTTTGTGTTGAAACATGTCTACTCTTGAGAGTTTTTATTAATATATATTATGAAATTTCAAGTTTATCAATTTATAATAATTTTCTGGCACATCCTCTAAACAGTTTTTCTACTCTTTTGTTTGTGTTTAAAGAGATAGCAATTGTATGTCCATTAAAAGAATACTTATTTTTAAACTTTCCATAATTTATATGTGCTTACCTATTAGATCACTTGTTGTGGCTGTTGTTTAATATGTTTATTTATTACTTGTCTATTTTTAAATATTAAATGTGAAATAATGCTGTTTGTCTTGATTTTTATTAATAGTGAGTCTTGTATGTTGATTAACAGGAGGATATTAATTTGATGTAATTTTTTTATTTTAAAAATATCACCAAAGCATTATTTCTGATAACATTATACTTGGATATAACCTTAATCTTATAGAAAGCTTTCAAGTATAGTCAAAATAACTCACACCTGTAAAGTTTTTTTTTAAAGATATATTTCTTTTTTTTTTTTTAAGATTTATTTATTTATTTATTTATTTATACAAGCACTGGGTACAGTCAGAAGCGCCGGAGAGTGAGAGAATTCACCAGAGCCAGAGCAGGGAGCAGAGCAGGCAGAAGGACCGAAGTACACTGCTGAGGGGAGCAGCGGGCAGCAGGAGAGGTCTGCAAAAAAAAAAAAGAAAAAAAAGAATTAAAAAAAAAAAAAAAAGATATATTTATGCATACAAGAACAGGGGTACAAGCCAGAGGTGTGGGGGGATGAGAGGATTCACCAGAGACAGAGTGGGGAACAGAATAGGCAGATTTGACTGAAGTACACTGCTGAAGGGAGAAGCGGGCGAGTGAGTAGAGGTCTGCTGCACCATGTGGGTTGCTCCCTGGCTGGCTGGGGATCGAACTTCTGCTGCAGTGACTGCGGATAGCTTCATAGGTTGCATCTTAACCCCCTGTGCCACCAGGGAGGCCCTGTAAGCTTTTTTTGTTGTTGTGATTGGTAACAACTCCTGCATACCCTTTAATCAGACTCCTCAGTTTTTTACTTTTTTTGCCCCATTTGTTTTTTCTCATTCATTCAGTTTATTTGTATATTTTTGTATGATCCACTTGAAAATATGGTGCAAATTTTTCCCCTTTACTCCTAAATACTCTGGTATGTAGTTATCAAGAACAAGGCCTTTCTCTTATTATAACAGTGTGTATTTATCTAAACCCTATTACATAGTACAGTTATCAAGTCCTATTATATAGTACAGTTATCAAGTCATCTGTACTATCTGATCCAAGTTCAAATTCAAATGGTGGCATTTTTCCAATTATGCACTTGATCAAAACTTTTTTTCCCCCTGTTCTAGAATCCATCCAGGATCTCCCATTATATTTGATTGCAATGTCCCCTTAGTGTCCTTTATAGAGACTAGTTCTTTGTTCTATTTTTCTTGACCTTGACATTTTCACAGGCCAATAATGTCTATAAATTTAAGTTTATTTAAAGGGTGATTCTTTTGATCAGATTTGTGTTAAGCATTTGTGGCAGGAACAGTCACAGAAATGAGATTGAAGCTTCTCAATGTATCATATCAAGAAGGACATGATATCTGTTAATCTCAACACAGGTCATTCTGATCCCTTGGTTAAGATGAATTCTAGTAGATCTTTCTTTCATAGAGTTTCTTCCTTTTGTTATTAATTTGTGGAGAGCTACCTGAGGCTATATAAATATGTATATATATATGCACATGTATATGTATTTTTACCAGACACTGGTTGGTAATACCCATTGGTAGTTTCTAATTGCATCTAATTGCATCTAATTGCACCTTATGTATTTATGAACAATCTATTGTAAGGGGAGATTTTGCCCCAATGAATTTGTTCATGTCTTTAGTATCTATAAGAAGTTAACCTTCATATATATATATGAAACTCATCTTTTAATTGGGCTATTTTATTTTTTGCTATTTTTCTTTCCCATTTTGGTTTATTGATTTGTAGGAGTTTCTTATCTATTTTTGATAAAAATCCCTTATTGGATATGTAGCCTGCAAATATTTCCTACTATTCTGTTGGCTTCCTTTTCATTTTGTTGAGGATTTCCTTTACCATACAGAAGTTTTTCAGTTTGATATTGTCTGGCTTGTCTATTTTTGCTTTGCTGCTTTTGCTTATGGTGTAAAATCCAAAAACAATCATTGCCAAGAGCAACATAAAGAAATTTATTACCCTTTATCTTTTCTTCTAGGAGTTTTAGAATTCCAGGTCTTATGTTCAAGTTTTCAATCCATTTTGAGTTGATTTTTGTGTACAGGGTAAGATAGAGATCCAGTTTTACTCTTTTGCATGTGGATATCCAGTTTCCCAACACCAGAAAAATGCTTTTTTGAAAACTTTCATTTCTGTCACTTTTTTCCTTTCTGTACTTGAATGCTGTCACCTTGTCTTTTGACCATCAAAAGACTTGAGAGGTCATCCTCGCCCATGGTGTTGTGTCCCTTTATGTTTCATGTCACTTTTTCCTCTGGCTTTTAGGATTTTTGATTTCCTATTGATTTTCAGCAGTTTGATGACAGTCTTCTCCCTGAAGTATCTGTGGTCCTTTCTTTCTTAGGACTTTGATTTTTTTCAGAGAATGATATCCTATTCATCCAGACAGGGTGGAGTTGGGCAGGAATGGGTGACCCACTTGCTGACATGGTGCAAGAGCAAGAGGAGGGTGAGGCCTGGCAAGTTCCATTGTGTGACATGCAGGTTGACACATGATCACCCTGCTGTGCCTGGCATCCTCTTCTGTTTGGTTTCTTCAGAGACTAAACTTGTAATCTCCTGCCTGACAGCAGGGTGACGGCAGGGGCCAGGCTGTCTAACTCCTCTGTAGAAAGATGTGCAGATCCAGAAAATTCTTGGGGTTTGGCTCTGGGCCCCACCCTCATCTCTGGGGGCATCTGTGCCTGGAACAGTTGAGGTCTACAGGGGTTTTTAGTGAGATTTTATTATTTATTGGTTGCCTACTTGCTATAAGCTTGGTACGGTGCTTTGCTAGGGCTATTCTATGTAATCTTAACTGTCACCTCAGCAAAGGTTCTTTTTTTAGCCCCATTTTACATGGATGAAAACAGAGGTTTACAGCAGAGTTAGTAAGTCAGGTCAGGACTTGAACACAGCTGTATTTAACCTCAGAAATTACACTTTTACCAACTCTGCTAGATTCAGAACAGTGAACAGCTAGGATGCACACATTTCTGCTTAGATGCCAGCATTTTAGGTTTTGCAAAAAGGGTCGGTGTATTGAAATGATCACTTTATAAAAGAGTGCCTGTACTAAGTATAATACAAAAATGAAGTAAAAGTCACTACGTCTTGGACTATAAATGTAATTTAATATTTATGAATGCTATTAATCAGATTATCTTCCTCAAACACCTTTGAGAGGAGAACAGTTCCTGACAGATATTTGTGATTTAGGAGATGGAGGCATGGAACTAAATGGTGACATTGGATTCTATCTGTCATTATACTGAAAGTTGCTAGAAGTGATGACTTTGTTTCCTGCTGTTTTCCTTGCAGTGCTAACTAGCGTACACTTAGCAAACTTAATGGCCAGTAGATATTGGTACTCAGGCTCAGTGACACCTGCTAACACCTGAACTGTATGTAAAGACTTCTTTTTCTATTTTGTTTCTGAAGGTCTAGAATTCTTGGATTTGGTCAATACTTATGTCACTTGACACTATACTTCTTTTTTTTTTTTTAAATTTTATTGTTATATTCCCCATACAATTGCAGCCCCCCATTCTGACCCCAATCCCTCCCCTCCCGCCCCCGCCCCCCAAAAAAGTGTCTCTGGTTCATAGTTATTTGTTGATTTTGATTTTCACTTTCTTATAGTTATTCATTTTCCTGGTCCCTTATTTAAGTTTTCTAGATTCCTGCTATGAGTGAGACCATCCGGTATTTTTCTTTTTCTTTTTGGCTTATTTCGCTGAGCATGATCCCTTCCAGCGCCATCCATGTTGCTGCAAATTGCATGTGTTTATCTTTTTTGAATGCTGAGTAATATTCCATGGTATATATGTACCACATCTTCTTGATCCAGTCATCTATTTTTGGGCATTTGGGTTGTTTCCAAAGCTTAGCTATTGTAAACAGTGCTGCTATAAACATAGGGGTGCAGGTGTTCTTTGGAATTGATGTTTCTGTGTCCTTTGGGTAAATACCTAGGAGTGGAATTGCTGGATCATATGGAAGCTCTATGTTTAGTAGGTCCAGAAATCTCCACACAGCTTTCCACGACACTATACTTCTTTTTTCTCTCTTTTACAGATTGCTCTCTTTTACCAGATCACCAGTTTGCTCAAAAAAGCACGATGTCTCGAGCCCGACAACCCCCTCTTGTGACAGGAATCTCTCCAAATGAAGGAATACCATGGACAAAGGTCACCATTAGAGGAGAAAACCTGGGGACAGGCCCAACTGACCTTATAGGTAAGGATGAGGATACTGCAGGGCCTCTGGGGTTATCCTGTTTTTATGATGGGCAGTGGAGCAGGTGTCATTTCAAAGTAGTGAAAATGACAACGCAGAATCAGTGTGGTGGGTACGGAACGATCTGAAGGAAAACGTGGCAATTACTTGGGTTTCTGATTTTGCTGTTAAAAATCATTACTTTCTCACATCTGATCTCCATTGTCTTAACACTGAGCCCTTCAGAAAGCTTCTTGCAGCAGAGATTTGTCTGCCTTTTCTCAACTTTGATCTCTCCTACCAAGATCGCCAGATCAACTGGCATGCTGCATCCCATACCTTAGTTTCCCCTCCACCCTGCAGCTGTAGTCTTCCTTCATGCTCTGTGAATTATGCCCGGTCAGTTCTTCATGACTCCTCAGCTCTTCTAGACTCTGCCTGCTGGTGATTTCACGGCCACTTGGCTCTCGTTCACCCCAGCGATGAGAGCCTATCCACGCAGACATCCTCCCGGGGTCCCACTCCTGGCGATGTCAGCGGCCCCGTGGTTAGGGCACCCTTGAAAATGTTCCTGCTCTCTGTCCTCCCAGGCTCGAAACTTACATCCCAGAACCTCTTCAAATGAACCTCTACCCATGTCAATCTGTCTTTTCATTGGGGCTTCTCTAATGTTTACATATTTAGAGCAAGCGAAACTTCAGCTCTTGAGTAGTCTTTGTTTGGAAAGACAAGGGCATAAAGGACAGAAGCACAAAGGGCAGAATGCATTTTAAACACAGCAGAAGGGTCCGTTAGAATTTCTTTGATCTAGGTGAGGGTCCACAGGCGCACACAGTATGTGGGAGGGGACCTAGTGTCTATGACTGAATGTGATTCTGACCCCCACATACATTTATCTGGGTTCAGGCACCCTGTCAACTCATTTCTTACCTTGTGAGGTTCCCATGGTGAAGTCCTAGAGATTGTGAGTTGGAGCTTGTTTTTCTTGCGTGACAGTGTGGGCGAAATAGACTGGTTTTGGCCATCCACAGAAGCTTTTGAAAAGTGTAAGCAGATAGGAGCTTAGCACTATGTCGAATAACTGAGTTATGCACTTCAGCTACTTTTTTTTCATGAGCGTTATTGAAATACATCCCATTTTATGTGGTTTGCTCTATAGTTTTAAATTCTTAAGTAAATATGACTTAAATACTTTTTTTTATGAAGATACTCTTATCTAATCCTATGTCTTAATATTTGACAGCGCTCATACTAGATTTTTCTGTGTCCAAACTGGAAAATTCCCCAGAATGCATGAAAATAGCCCATCCAGATGGAGGCTATGTCCCACATTGTAACTGGCAGTCATTGTGAGCTCTGCGTAAATTTCAATCTTGCTCTAGCTTCAGGCAGTGCTATTCTTATTTGACTAAGTGTGTATTACTCTTATAAATCTTGCCAGTTCAGCTTTCAACCTGCCTATGAATTGCCAAGAAACCATTTTTTAAAAAAGCAAACTTAACCTACTAAGTAATTTAAGTGTTTTTAACTCAGATGATATCTGCACTAGCCAAGTAAAACACTATAAAAACACTTTATTTGGAATTCTACAAGTTACTTTTAAAAGAAGATGTTATTATGTTTCATGAAGCAGATTTCTTAGCTCTCAGTAACTTAACAAAAAATGTGCTTAAGAAATAGGCCTTATGATCTTATTTAATTTTCATGACATTTGAAATCATCTGTTTGAATCTTATGTTTAAATGGATGGCAATTATTCGTTATTAATTTTAAATGCAGATCAGATTAGGTCAGAGGGACCTTGATAGTAGATACAGGTAGATGAATAAACTATTGTTCTGGGGAGTTTTTTCCCCCGACTTACACCATCATCGGCATCATTCACATTTGCTCATCTGAACATGATTTTAAGACTTTATGTGTACATCTGAAATCTACTCCTGTTCCTCAGTTTATCCTAAGAAAATTATTTCCTAGGGAACTTATTTCAGGGTTGACTTTACATTGTCCTGGCATTTATTGTTGAGTTATTCTCCTTTCTGAAGTGAATTAATATTTCAAATCATAAGAATCTTCTTAATATTATAAAGTTTAAAAATATTGAGTTCTCTATTGACCTGGAATGCTATCAAAATATCCACCTTCTATAGTAAACAATTTGCTGATTAAGACATTTCCCATTCATTTGAAAAATCCACAGACTGAATTATGTGTGCATAGAAATTACTTGAGCAAATATGCATTGATGAGTCTCCCAGTGCTTATCTAAGAGATGAAGGGGAGATCCCAGGGGGATTTCAACCTCTTAAAGTGTTTAAATTTTTTGTAACATGGGTTGATTTTCAGGAAATGTATCAAAGACATACCCATTTTGAAAGAATAATTTGGAATTGTGAGGCCATTTAAAAATGTGTATTATGCACATTTTAGGAAACCAACCTAAAACTCAAGTTCTAAAGCTGTGATTAGAAGAGCAAAATTTAATATATGAATAAACAGTTGGTATCTTTGGGAAATCCCTAAAATTCATTATTTCAGTAAATGTAAATATTTCCAAAAGGGAGTCATTTTATCTCTTTATGGTTTGTAATATAACAGTCTTATTAAATAGTGCTTTACGTTGTAACAAAAGATGGCTTGAGGCCCTCCCTGCAGTTTTTCAACCAAATTTGGCATTACTTGAGGTGTTTCTGGTAACTGAGAAAAAAATTGCAATTGTTAAAGTTGACCTCTGAGGGGTATAAAAAGTTAAGTGATGAGAAAAGTAAGTGTGAAGTAAGAATGAGTGTCACCTACATTTTGGTTGATTTTCTCCATAAATATTTATTACACCAGTCTCTATCTTTAGGAAATGGACAAAGGAAATAGGCGAGAGCCCAGTCTGCGTGTGTGCACACTGGGTGTTCTGCTTGGGTTCACATCTTCCCCTGCACTGTCTTTGAATGACTTTACTCATTATGGCCTATATTGTAATTTGTGCCGTATGGGCCCAAGATGCCATTCCTGGGCTGTCCTTTTCTGAGGCAGGTTTACTGTAAGAGCAGAGTGGGGAGGAGCAAACATTTCATCAGGGAACCCCTGGGCAGCGTGGGCTGCTAGGTGTGGACATGACAGGCAGCTTACTCAGGCATCCAGGAATGCCCGAGGACATTGCTGCATTTACCAACCTCCAGCTCTGCTTAAAAAAATAAAGTATCTACTTTCATTCATTCTGTAATACCATGTATAATTAAACACGAGTAAAAGTATGAGCAGATTATTTTCAGGAGATGGATGAATATAGAATGTTTTTAGGGAATGATATATATACAGTAAAATGCTTTAGAATTTTATATCAATAACTTAGACTTCAAATAATTGCAGTAGTTTTCCTTCTGATACCTATGAAAGCAACTTAAGAGTCTCACGGTTTAAGGAATGTGGTGCAGTCATAATTATTGTGGTCATTCTTTTCTAATTCTACTGATGTTTGAAGAATCTTAAATATAATCTTAAAAGTATTTTAAATATTAGAAAAAACAGATAAGACAATAGAGACAATAGAGACAAGCCTATAGAGACAACAGTGCATTAGCAAATGCAATTGAGTATATTCAATACTAGAAGTAACTATTGAATAAGGAGATATTTCTAGATTGATTTTTTCAGTGCATAAGAAGGGTCTGACAATACTAACTCGAGAAGAATTTATCTTTTCCTGTCATAGACTTGTCTGAGGTCTGGTGATTCTTTTGAACTTAATTTTGTGCTCGCTTGCATTTTCAGGTTTGACAATTTGTGGACATAATTGCCTTCTGACAGCAGAATGGATGTCTGCAAGTAAGATAGTGTGTCGAGTGGGACAAGCCAAAAATGATAAAGGCGACATCATCGTCACCACCAAGTCAGGTGGCAAAGGAACCTCAACTGTCTCCTTCAAGCTCCTCAAGCCTGACAAAATAGGTATTGCCTTTCATGACTTTATTTTAAAGAGGAAAGTAAAACTGGGTGTTGTCTTTTAAAATTTAAAACTGGTAAACTGGTATAAAATGTCTCCCCTCTCTTATTTCATTAACTTAGAGTCAGTTTTGTTTATTTGGACAGCATGGGCTATTGGTGAACATTTGCATTACTTTTCAAAAGGCATTTGCTGAGCTCACGGTGATACCAGGAGATGGCTGGCGTTCTCAATTCCCTACAAAATCTGTTCCTCTACTTACTGACATGCCAGGTTTAGCTCCTCAATCTCAAATATGATAATTGTACTTATTTCTGTTGTGCAGTTAAGATTGAGGTGAAATAGCCTGATTTGGCCAGATTTGCAATAATAAAATGTGCGCTTTGCCTTTATTTTCTTCAAATGAAATGTTGTCTGCCCTGGACGCAGCTTTACACCTTGAAATGAGAAATAACCGTCCTTCTTTGCACTCAGTTACCTTTTAAATGCACTTAACACTTGCTTCCTCCTCTCAGGAGTGGTTAAAATCTTGGTCTAGAGGTCAAGACTCTGAATACTAATTTGGGCTTCAGCACCGTTAGCATTGTAACTTCAGCACTATTTTCTCCATGTGTAAAGCAGAATCATTGTATTACCTATCTCAGAGGATTAAATGAGTTAGAACATATGTGACATTTGCTTAGCATAGCCCCTTACACAAGGTAAATAAGTGCTCAATAAGTTCAATATGCTTAATTGTTATTCTCATAGCTGTTTCTATGCACGGCCATCCTCCCCACAAAAGCATAGTATCAGATTCAGCTTTGAGATTTATAATGTCTTCTTGAACACAACCAGTACCACATAAATGTTTACATAATGTAGGAATCTCACAGGTATAATTAGATCCAGGCCATACTTCTCCCTCATATAGAAGCATAAATAATCATACAAATTGTCTTTGTTTTTAAATCTTAGAGCATCAACCGTTCTGTAGCATTACTTCCTTAAATTCCTAGCCTTTTTTTTTTTTTCCTATAAATGAAAATTTAAGGAAGGAAGTTAAGGGGAAATTAAAAATGGCGTGTATGTATACATATATAAGTACATATCTAATATCCCTGTTATTTGCACTCATTTTTTACTTAATGTATTTAAAAGCTGAACTGTGATTGAAGCAAAAGTTTGTTATCAGTTTTCCAGAAGAATTGAAACCACTTTTCACAGATTTCAGCACCATCTTGCATCTTGTTTATGTGACAGATAAAGAAAACTTACTTGAAAGTATTAATTTTGTTCAAAACACCTACTCAGGATCGATCACAGTGAGGAAAAATAAGGGCTTCCTCATCTAGACTCAGGCCAAGTAGACTTGAACATAGCTTCTGACAAATCCTTTGCTTAGCTGTTGAGAGACAATGGGCCTGATGATAGTTGTGGGCTTGCAGAGGTCAAAGGTTGCACAGAGTGAAGTTGCCTGGGATGAGTACCCTTCCTTTGTGAATCCTTCCTGGCCCACATGAGCACTTTGTGGGTTTCTTTCCATGGCCAGGGTGAGTAATGCAGTACTTAGTCACCTTGAAGAGAGGATTTTTTCCAGAAATTTTACATTTTATTCACAGGGTCTACCTAGTCATTATTCCTGAATATCCTAGTCATATCCTTGGCACAAGCCGTGGCATTTCTTGTAAAGTATTTGAATGATTTCTTTATAGAAGGAATTGCTGAATAGCTTGCTGAATTTACCAAATGAATTGTAAGTTTATTATTTGGAAAATAATTTGTCTTAACAGGACTTTTTCTCAGTGATTTGTTTGCCTTCCCCATTGGATAACGTACAATGAAACCATGAACCAGAGGTGTTAATGTTGCCTTCTTATAGAGTCTTAGCATTTTTAGTTAAGCCCCTATCCATTTAGAAAGAAATTTGGAACTTTGTTCCCTCAGAGCTCATAGAAATTACCTTAGCATGCATCCTGTAGGTCCTTCAAAAGTATAGTAACATGGCAAGACTGAGTGTGGGGTGAGGGGTCGGGGGTGGGGTCCGGCATCTTGTTAAGTATGTGTCCCTTACTTTGGCAGGTATTCTGGATCAGTCTGCGGTGTGGGTTGATGAAATGAATTATTACGACATGCGCACCGACAGGAACAAAGGCATCCCACCCCTGTCCCTCCGTCCTGCGAATCCACTTGGCATTGACATTGAAAAGTGAGTACCTCCTGTGCTCAGTTTTCTTTTATTTTTATTGATAGAGAGTTGTTCAAACTGGGGCAGGAGTTGGGAGAGGGGGAATGACTTACTTAGCTCTTTTGTTTCCTTGGGTTTACATTTTGTGAGGAAGAAAAGTGTCTTGAAACGTGTTAATAACTAATATTTTTCATGGTCTGAGAATTAATACATTATCTGGAGTTGGTCAGTTTAAATATTTAGATGGTACTTGAGATCGGGATAGAATTTTCCATGTGCTTGATTTTTGTGGAAATATGTCAGAGTAGTGTCATCTTTGCTTTTGTTCACAACTCCTTCCTTTAATTCACACGTAGCCCAGACATGCCCTCACTCCCAAAACAGTGGCAGGTAAATGACATCTTTCAAGATGTCTTGTAACCAGTCTAGAATTTTCTTTTCTCAGGGTCTAGTATATGTTTTAGTAGCTTTCACAGTTAGTACCTTTATCCTGATATCTTACCTAACAAGTCATCTAACACATTAGTTGTGTCTACTTTCATTTCTGGCTTTACTGAGTCTGCTGGTGAAGTTCTATGCCAAGTATTGCTCCATAAACACTTATTGAAAGTGACAAATTAGTTCTTTAAACATGTTAACTTTAGCTTTAATATTAGGTTTTTCTAGGAATAGAGAAAAGTCTCCTCTAATCTTTATATATTTAACCTTCAAGCCTTCACTTGAAGGACCATTAGGAATACAAATAGTAAGCTTCTTTCCATCTGCTTGGTTTTACCCGGCCCAGAGAGAGAGAAAGCACTTGTGTTTATCTTGTGAGGGTATTGTGCAAATGTCCTGGGACCTTGCTGTTTCTAGGGAGCTTCAAGCCCTAGGTCACAGCTTTGCAGCAACTGGGCAGCACAGGTCATTCTGGGGTCGATTTAGGGATTTCAGTGCTCCATAAATTAAGAGTTTAAGGTTAGGAAAGTCCAGAAAAGAATGCTAGTTATTAGATTACTTAAGCAATTTCAAGCAAGAACAGACTTTGCAGAAGGAAAGCAAACCATTCAACAATCTCCTTCCACTGCCTCCCGCTAAAGACCTGGAGAGCAGAAGGTCCCTTTGATCCTTTCTTCAGAAGGAGGTACAGTTTCATATGTCGGCACTAGGAGCATAGGGATATTATGTGAATTTTCTATGACCCTTAGACAAAACTATCAAAGTTAGGAGTAGAACATTGACTGTCATAAAATTTCTTAATTTTTAGTTTGGCACATAGTTCATATTTGATCTCTTTACTTTCTCACGTCCTCTCACTCTTGGGTTGTCTTTACTATTCCTGTTGCTGCTGCCACCTAAAGGGAGTGGGTGAGCTTGAACTCACTCTAGTGAGACTTTGTGTTAATTCCTTCCAGGGCAATCCTCTGGTGGCACTGATGACAGCAGCCAGAAGTAATGGCCCTAAAAGTACTTGACGCCTTAAAATTTTCCTGTCTGTCTTCTCTGAAAGGTAGTGTGATTTAGTCTGGAGCCAAACTCTCGGCTCAAATCATGACTCTATTATTTACTAGCAGTATGATTTTGAGCCAATTAGTTAACTTCTCTTTGCCCCAGTTTCCTTAGGTATAAAGTGGACTACCTGGGTTACAGGATGGCTTTATAGATTCAATGCTGGTGAATATTTAAAATAGAATAGTGTCTCCTTCATAGCAAGTGCTTCATAAATATTAGTCATTTTTATTATGAATCTTTGATCTTCTTGCTTATATATGATTAATTGCTCAGCCACTTAGGAAAAGAATCTTTTTAACGACTTAAGATTTCAGGGTAATTATATCTTAAAATAGCATGATGTACATTCATCCAAGAAGTGCTTAAATCAGGATGAAATTAACAATATGAATAAATGTATCAAAAACAAGGTCCATTTATATGCTCCCTAAAAAAGACTTGCATCAGATGTAAGGACATGTACAGACTGGAAGTGATGGAATGGAAAAAGATGTTCTATGCAGATGGACACTGAGAGATAAGTGAGATAGCTATATACTTATTGCAGACAAAGCAGACTTTAAAATAAAGTCCATTATAAGAGAAAAAGAAGGATGTTACACCATGATAACGGGGTCAATCCAGTAAGAGGCTATAACATTTGTAATTATTTATGCACCCAACATAGGGACACCAAAATATATAAAGTGAATATTCACAAACCTAAAGGGAGAAAATACAGCAATACAAATATATGGGGGACTTTGATACCGCAATACATCAATGGATAGATTTGCCACCCATGGAAAATCCAGGTTAGATGGACTTAGAAGATAAACACAGGACATTCCATCCCAAAACAGCAGAATATACTTTCTTCTCAAGAGCACAGTGAATGTTCTCCAGGATGGCTTATATGTCAGACCACAAGGAAAGTTTTAATATATTTAGGAAGACTGATACCCTCTCAAACATTTTTTCTAATCATAGTGGTATGAATTTAACCAAGCAGGTGAAAGACAGGCCCAGAAAAATGCACAGCAAATGAACTAGGATCTGAAAACTATAGGATATTGATAAAAGAAATTGAAGAAGACTCAAATAAATGGATAGAAACTCTGTATTCTTGCATCAGAAGAATTAATATTGTTAAAATGTCCATACTGTGCAAGGCAGTCTATAGATTCAGTATAATCCCTATCAAAATTCCAAAGGCATTTGTCACAGAAATAGAACAAATAATGTTAATATTTGTGCCACAAATATTTGGGTCACAAATGCCCCAAATAGGCAAAACAGTGTTGAGAAGAACAAAGTAATAGTAACCAAACTGTGTGGTTTTGGCATCAAAACACAGAGATCAGTGGAACAGAAATGAGAGCCCAGAAATAAACCCACATACGGTCAATTAATTTACAACAAAGGGGCCAAGAATATACAATGGGGAAAAGACAGTCTATGCAATAAATGGTGTTGGGACAATTGGACCGTCACTTGCCAAAGAATGAAACCATACCTCTGTGTTACCCCATGCAACAAAATTAAGTCAAATAGATTAAAGATGTGAGACTGACACGTAAAACTTCTAGAAGAAAATAGGGGTGATGATTTTGTGGATTTGACAAACAAAAGGCAACAAAAGCAAGTAGAAATGATGGGACTATGACAAGCTAAACAGCTTCTGCACAGCAAAGGAAAACAGCAAAATGAAAAGGCAGCTTACTAACTAGGAGAAATTATCCGCAAATCATGGACCTGAATTCATACTTCTTGATCCCTTAGCTATGCATGAGCAGAGCAGTCCACAGACAAGGGGATAGTCAATGACCGGCAAGTAGTATTTGAGTAACTCCTCTGGACCCGTTCTTCACATGTGTTATCTTGGCAAATTTTATCACTTTGAAGTAGGTGATGATAATCTCTATTTACATTATACCTTAAAAAAAGAGTTCAGGGCAATAAATTGTATTCCTATCTTAAAATGTACATTACTTAAAGAAATACTTAAAGGGGTAAAATGAACCATGGTATTTCTTCAAAGTTCTTTCTTAAGTTTCGGTAATATTTGCTCAGTCAGGGCATAATAGAAGGATAATTTTTGAAAGCCCTGACTCTCATACAAACGCAAAATGAACACATCAGAAGTTTGATTTAACTTGTAATTAATGGACAAACCAGTAAAATGTTAAAACCAATTCAAAAGTAATTCCAGAGGACAGATGAAATAGGCCTGGGAATGCTGAAGGATATAAAGTAGGCTCCTTCCACAGCCTGGGGAGCAGCGGGGTCTTGATATGACAGCCCTTTCTATGACCAAGTTGTAGGGTAAGTGATTGTCAGGCTTTTCTGCCCTCTCGCCGTTAGGATTGATGATGGATCCCTGTGGTCCTGAATGCATGCCTGATGGCGGGCACCTGGAGTAGGGTGTGGGCATACGTAGGTGGGCTGAGACTGGGCCTATAAGGGCAGTGTCACAGGGAAAGGAACTACCAGAAGAATACGTGAGAGAGCGGAATGGAACCAGCAGAAGAGAGAGAACGAGACCACGAGAGAACGCTGGAGAGCCCAGAAAGAGTGAAGATTCGCTGGAGGTTTGGGGACTGCCAGCCTCCTGGTCCCCGGGACCCCTGCCTGCCATGTACCTGGCAAAATCCCAAATAAAGTCTGAAAAAGCCTCTGAGGGCCCCAGGACTCTCCTTTACCCTCTGCATAGGATCATAGAGATCTTGCACTGTGCCCATCCTGCCACTACAGTTGGTGTAAGTCAGCAGGATGATTCCATGCAGATGGGTATGGAGCCCTCTGAAGACTTAAGGAGGGACTGAGGAGTAGCAGACTGAGCCTGTGACAGCGCTGGAGGCACCATGGCAGCACAGGTGGTGACCAAAGACAAGGAGCTGTGGGAAGAGCTAAAGATGCTGCAAGAGTGCAGCATCAGGGGACCAGGTCTGGAAAGGGCAGGACGAGACTCGAGTGGAGGAGGAGACAGCCCTGGAGGACCAGCCCACCACCCCAGAGGCAGCAGAATCATAGACGATAACACAATTCAGAGTTCACCCAGTGCTGACGCAGGGAAAAGCTAATGGACTTGGACTGAGAAATCCCACCAGAAGGCGGAGAAACTTTGGCAGGTTAATGTAATGTTTTTGGGACCCTCGGGGTGGATGGTATCATTTGTAAACCCCAGAAGATGAAAATCAAGGCATGGGGCAGGCGTGAGAAGAGCCCATGGTTGCCTGAGGGAAGAGCCCTTGCCAAGTTCTCTGCAGCCAGGCAGAGATGTATTAAAAAGTGAACTTAGAGACGGCAAGAGCTGGTGCTAAAATTGGGAAGCCCTGAGCAGCTGTTAAGCAGCCTAAGTATGCTAAAGAAGGTCAGTGCAGTGAGTCTTTTAAAATCACCTGTGGGTGATGCCCCTGTTCATTGTTAAGTGAGGGTAAGGAACCCATTCTTGAGGGACGGGTGGAGAACTTGGCTTGTGGTGGAGCCCACAGCTAAAGAGGGGACCCAAGAGAGGCCGCATGTGGAGTTTGTATCCTGGGTGCCCGACC